GTCATTCTGTTGTTTCCAAGATGTCTTCTCGGTGCTCTCCTTGTCCTATTGATATGGTGATTTTCTTTAAAGTCATCATCGTTAAACAAAGAGCACTGGGGGATGATGTCAGGCCTTCCCAATGTCAGGCGCTTCCTCGGGCATGCCATGGCTTGTTCTCTGGTTTGCTCTCGTGCAGGATATTCTTGCAGTGTGTATGACAAAATATACATATATACATATATACAGAGTGTGTGCTCCTGGGAAGGTTCGTCTATACGATAAGTGATGTAAACTTATCAGAGATCTTCCCCAAGTTAAGTAGAAGGACTCCCAAAAAGAACTATGATAGCGGAGATCATAAAATAAAAATAATATTATACAATTCTAATGCAGAAACAATTTTTGGTATTAAGGAGTTTTATTTGGTGTTAAGGAGTTTTATTTCCAATTTTGGTGACAGTTCTGGCAAGTCACGGACACGGCTCTTGAACCCCCGTGATTTCACAGATTGTAGGACCAATCAGCCCAAGGTGGGGCTGTATTTCTGCTGGGCACCCCATGTCCTGATCAGTATGGACAGGAAATCCCACGCCGGGGGAGCCCTGCTCTGCTCTGTGTTGCCTGACACTGCAATGACCTGGTCCCCTTGGGCAGCAGCGGCACCAAACGAGAAGTGTTGCTGGTGTGCTCCTCAGGCAGGCTGCACGCAGAGTGAGATGTCAGCCAGGCTGTCTTCTCAGAGTTTTCCAGCACCAGCCTGCACATTTCAACTCTTAAACTGAGCAGTTTTTGTGACTTGGATCCTGGCGGACGTGGTCCAGACTGACTGCCGCTGGGCTCCTTGAACAGTCTGGTCTCAGAGCTCCAACACCATAGGGATGCTGTTGGTGTTTCCTGCAGGGCCAGGGTTCCAGAATGGCTCTGGAGGTTTGCTTGTGCATTTTCTGGCACTCCTCCTTTATCGGGGACTTTCACTGCTCAGTGTTTTTTTTTTTTGTAACTCTTTGGTTCCACTGCCTTTGCTGGACCCATCTTCTTTGCTTTGCCTTTCACAGTGGATTTTCCCTCTTTCTTTTTCCCAGGCTGTGTTTTGATAGAAGACACCTCCAGGATTGCTGGCAGCTGACTGAAAGGACACAGTAGGAGGGGTCCATCCGAGTGGGTGATCACTCTTCCTGGAGCCTCCATCGAGTTTCACCTTCCACAAGGTATAACTGTACAAGGAACATCTGACACAGAGAGACAGCAAATCATAAATAGAAATATAATTATGGCCATAGGGACAATGAGATAGAGCGCTCTTCGTTCCGGGGTTTGAGCGGCAGTCGTCACGGCCAATTGGAGGGGAGGGGCCGGCGGCGACGGGACTCGCTCGAAGGCGCCCGGAGGAAGAGGCGGGGGGAAGCGCGGCAACCGGTCGGCCGTGGGAGCCAATCGGCGTGCCGGGCGGGGAGGGGCCCGCCAAGCGGCGGAGCGGCCCGGTTTCGCTGCGGGATACGGAGGGGCCTTGGCGCTGCTGGCCCAGGCTCCGCAGCGTCTCTGGACCCTCGCGGCCCCGGGGCACCCGAAGTCCCGGTCCTGGTAACGGCGCGCAGGCCCTCCTCCAAACCCCATCTCCAGGTCGTGCCCTTTCTCCATCCCCTCCTGCAGCCCTGCCGTTTTCCGTTCCCGGTCCCTTTCGTCAGCGTCTCCCTTCGAATCCCAGCCCCCCACCCTCTGAAGACCCCTCGTTTCCTGTGCACCCCCAGTGCCTTACCCTCCCTTTTCCGACGTTGCCTTTCCTCAAAACTCAGCCCCTCACCCTGCCACCAGCCCGCCCGTTTTCCAGCCCCCCCGGTCCTCTCGGGCTCTCTCTTTTCCCAGCGATGTCCTCAAAATCCTGCCCCCCTTAACACCCTGCAGTCCTCCCCCCAAATGTCCTGTAAGCCCTCTCCTGTGTCCCCCAGGATCTCCCATTTCCCAGGCCCCCCACTCCCATACCCTAGGGCCCCCTTTCCCCTCTCCTATGTCCCCCCTTTTGCAGACATCTTTCCATCCCATAGCGTTCTCATCTCGTGCCTTAATTTCCTCTGCTTTCTCAGACGCTTCCTCCACAAATCCTTGACCCCCTCACCCAAACCCTTTAGGCCTTCCTCCTTCCCCTGGTCACTCCCCTCCATTTTTTCACCCTGTCTCCAGTGTCTCCCTGATCTCCTGGTATCCCCCCTTTCCCATCCCTTAGGACCCACCAGTCCCAAGCCGCCCTTTGCCACAGGTGGCTCTCAGGCAACCATGGAGGACCCACAGTGCCTGCAGGCCAACTGCTTCTTCCGTGGCAAGGAGCACAGCATCCAGCTGAGTGTGAGCCAAGCAGTGCTGGAGGTGGAGGTGCAGGAGCGCTGCAGCACCAAGCGCTGGCGGGGCCGCTTTGATGCTGCCTGTGAGCTGCCCAGGGGTCTCCAGAGTGGGTCCCTGAGACTCTCAGCCCTTGACGATCTCCCCTGTCCACAGCTGTCGAGGACCTGACGCGCAAAACGGGCAACTTCAAGCAGTTTGGGATCTTCTGCAGCATGCTTGAAGCAGCACTGATGAAGGTGGGTCGTGCTGGTTTTGGGAGCCAGAGGGGGGGATGTCTGGGGATCCCAATCCTCCTGTCCCACTCCACAGAGCAGCGAGGCTGTCAGCCTGGAGCTGCTCACCTACGGTGACCTGGAGGCCCTGCGGTGCTGTAAGGCAGGGGTGGCAACACATGTCCCCCCCTCAGCCTCGCCACTCAGCAGCAAGCGGTACCTCATCCTCGTCTACTGCGTTGAATTTGACAGGTGACAGGGGGCACCATGCAGGGGTGGCAAAAGGTGGGGACACTGAGAGGGGGTCACCCAGCAGGGGCACCGAGGGGCCAAGAACGCTGGCATGGGGACAGTGAGGGGCTGGGCGTCAGCGTGGGGCTGGGGGCACCAAATGAGGAGGCGGCATGGGATCAGGGACATTGATGGGGGGATGCGGAGGGGCTGGAGATGCCAGTGGGGATGCACTGCGCCACTGAGGAGAGTGATGGGACAGTAAGGCTGGGGACCTGGTTGCACTGACACTGCGGTGTCTGTGTTCCTCAGGATCCACTACCCGCTGCCATTGCCCTACCGTGGTGAGGCAGACGTGGCTGCGCTGCGACGCCTGGTGCAGGAGCAGCAGGACGAGCTGGCACACCTGCGGGATGAGTGAGTGCAACTGCCCCACATGTCCCTTCTGTGGCATTATCAGTGCGACAAAGGGACAGCACGCCGTGCATTGCGCAGGCTGCGGTGGGCGCAGCAGGAGATGTGGAGGCTGGAGGACAAAAGGCTGCGGGATGAGGCCTGGCATCAGCAGGAGCAGCAGCGGATGACCAAGGAGGTATGTGGGATGAGGCTGGGGACATGAGTGTGCCGCTGCACTGTCACGGCTCTGCTATGGCTCCTTCTCCAGCTGGCAGAGGTGAAGGCGGCTGAAAAGATGCTGCGGGCACATGTGAATATGCTGACGGCTGAGTTGGTGGCGTGCAGGAAAGGGTAAGGTGGTGATAGCGCTGGGAACAGGACCAGGAACAGCAATGTCACGTCCCCCATCCCCACATCACCACATCTGTCCTTCCCACAGGCGCAGCACATCAGCCACAGCACCAGGCCCCCCACGGAATTGCCACCGCTCTAACTCCCGGGACAGCCGCAGTAGTAGCCAAGGCCGCCTGCCACCACGGTCCCCATCTCCTGCAGGTGAGGGACATGGGGATGTGGAGACCTTCCTGGGACCCCTGCCAATGTTCTCCCTCCCCTTCTGTTTTCCCTAGGTTCACGGCCACCGCGCTTCAACCCCACAGCCTTTGTGAGAGCCCGCGAGCAACGGCGGCAGGAGGCTGAGCTCCGAAGGTCAGTGGTGCCACAGCTGTGCCACAGCGCCCTCACTCACTGACAGTTTTTTTGGAGGGCTAGGGGCAGGCACCTCTCTGCTCCCCGCAGCAAATGATTCCCTGGGTGCAGGCAGAAGCTGCCACGTGGGACAGTGTCAAATGGTGACGACTGTAAGAGGAGGTGCAGGCGCAGCTCTTCGGGTAGGTGGAGGGCACTTCGGGTTTGAGGGACACCCAGTGGGCCTGGGGCGCTCAGTACATCTGAGTGACACCCAGCAGGTCTGGGGGCACTTACTAGGTCTGGGTCTGCCCTCAAACCTTCCATCAAACCCTCTTTCCCTCCAGCTGAAAGTTTCCAGAGCCAGCGCTCAGCACTGAGCTCAGGCAGTGAGGCTGGCACGTGTCCCCAGCGCCGCAGGTCAGTGATGGCATTCCCTCTAAGCACTGCAGTCCCCTCCTGGCTACTGTGGTCTGCTTGCACTCCTGCTTTCTTAACTACTTCTTTCCTACAAAGCAGGGGCTTGGGGGGTCCTAGCACCCGGAGTCCACTGAGTGCTTCATCCTGCAACAGCACTAGTGTGGTGAGTGGCTGGAGAGGCAGTGGTGACAGCAGGGAGTGACAGTGACACCGGGAGGGGGAAACCAGGTTGTGTGCTATCACCACCCTCTTCCCCTACAGGCATCTCACCTGGATAGGGGCCGCAAACAGCAGGGGAAAGGTGAGCCCCTCATCCTGCTCTTATGCCACCCCCCGGCCTCATTTTATTTATTTATTTTTTTTTCCCCCACCCATTTTTCTTTCCTCCCTCCGCAGAGAACCTGAGCACAGAGCCCTCAGCCACACTGTCTGAAATCGATGCCCGGCTTCAAGCCCTGCAGGTCTACATCAGCACCCTGGGCACTCACACGTGAGCCCCCCAGGGGCCACCAGAAGCTCGCCTCAGAGGGACCAGACCCAGGCATTGGTGTGCCACGAGGCCACCAGTGCCCAGGCTGTGTCCCGACTGTCCCCCAGAGGGAACAGCACTGGCAGGATGTGGTGTAATAAATACCTTCATGGCTGTGCGGGACAAGCGGTCTGTGTCCTTATCCTTCTCCTCCCCCCTGCTGACAGGATGGGGAGTTGGCACCTGGCTCCTAGCCCGCACTGTCCCATGGCCCCACACCTCGCCAATGCCCTGAAGTCTTGGCCTCAGGAACCATCCTGAGTCTTCAGCTGCGATCCTCAGGGTTGTGGAGCCATGGCATTCAGGAAGGGCTTGGATTGGGGGAGGGACCTTACAAGCCCCTCTTACTGTGGATGGGTTACCCCCTACCAGATCAGGATGCCCAGGGCCTCATCAAGGCCTGACCTAGAGCACTTCCAGGGACGGGTCAACCCCAGCTTCTCTGGTTCTCACATCCTGTGCCAGTGCCTCATTGCTCTCCCTCCAAGAGAAGAATTTTTTCCTAACCTCTAACCTAAATCTCCCCTCTTTAAGCTAAAAAGCTTTAAAAAAAAAAAAAAAAAGCTTAAAAAAAGCTTAAAACTCTTCCCCCTTTTCCACTATCAGACCATGTAAAATGTTGATCTCCCTCCTGCTTTGTAAGCTCCCTTTACATATTGGAAGGCTGTAATGAGGTCTCTCCCCAGAGCCTTCTCTTCTCCAGGCTGAACACCCCTAGCTCCCGCTGCCTGTCTTTGTGGTAGAAGTGCTCCCGGCCCTCTGAGCATCTTTGTGGAACTGCCCTGACACAAATGCAACAGCATAAGCCTGCACTTTGCCTTGTTAAACCTCAGTAGGTTCCTTTGAGCCCCCTATTCAAGCCTCTCCAAGTCTCTCTGAACAGCATTCCCTCCTGCATTATCAACCGCAGCACTCAGCCTGGTGTTATCAGCAAACTTGCTGAGTGTGTGTTCAGTCTTGCTGGGTTATTAACAAAGTTGTTGAAGAGCACCGGTCCCAAGACAGAAGCCTGGGGGACACCACTTATCACTGGCCTCCACCTGGACAAAGAACCACTGACCACAGCCTTATGGCTATGACCAACCAACCAACTCCTTATCCACAGTAGAGCCTGTCCAGACATAGATCCATATCTGCAATTTGCAGATAAGGATGTGGTGTGGGACTGTATCGGAAGTCCAGGTAGATTACGTCAGCTGCCCTTCCTTTGTCCACCAAGGCCATCACTCCATCACAGAAGGCCACTGGATTCGTCAGGCACAATATGCCCTTGGTGAAACCATGCTGGTTGTCTTGGATTGCCTCATCTTTCTCGTGTCTTAACATCGCTTCCAGGAGGATCTGCTCCACAATCTTCCCAGGTGCAGACATGAAGATCGCTGTCCCACAGTTCCCCGAGTCTTTTACCCTTCTTAAAAAACGGGTCTGATGTTTCCTTTTTTCCAGGTGGACTTCACCTGACAGTTACAGCTCTTCAAACATGATGGAGAATGGCTTGGCAACCACAGCAGCCAGTCCTGTCAGAGCCCTGGGATGCATGTTGTCCAGACCCATAGGCTCGTACACGTTAAGTTTTGTAAGGTGGTCTGAAAACTCTATTTGATTCAACGTGCTCTTATTTTCCCAAGCATTGTCAGAGACTTTTGTTGTTGTTGTTTTTTTTTTCCCACTTGTATTTGGACGAGGCTGTCCATGACTATGTGCAGATAAGATTTCCCACCATCACTTCTGCATCTGATCTCTTTAGAGAAGACGCTGATAGAAGACAAAAATTACTGACGTCTCCACAAGACGTTGAGATATAAAACGTTCCTTTTGTTTCTTATGTCCACTGGCATGGCAAGCAGTCTAGTCTGTCACATCAGCAGTCAACACATACGAGCAAGAGGGTAAGTGGGGCTGGCTTGAAATGATGGGAAGGGCAGCTGTTTCAGTGGCAGCTGTGGAAATGGCTGCAGTCCAGTAGCAAAACCATTCTCACTTGGGTCAGTTGTCTGTGTAGCTGCTACAGAGCTGCATGATGCAGGGAGCCAGGCACTTGCTACTCTGTTTGTATGAGACAGCAGTGAATAGAATGACCATGCGGGATTTTGGTGGCTGACATCGCCTCCAGAAGTGTAGGGGTGCTTTGAGTATCGAGGGGCCGGGGTTGCAGGCAATCTTCCTCCAGGGACACATGTCTCCTTGGGTTGCCATTGCCTGAGGGCACTGGGGCTGTGCCAGCCCTCCCGACAGTGCCAGGGCAGGTGGCAGGAGCTTGGGGTGGGTTGTGCATCCCCTGGTTACATCCCCCACAGCTGATGGCGGCATTCGTGATGTGTCTCCGTGGTTGATTCCACATCCCCACGATACGGCCCCGTGGTGGCTGATATGTCCCCATGCTGGGCGATGCGATCCCACGGTGTGTCCCTGTGGTGAGGACATGCTGCTCGTGATGTGTCTCTGTGATGTGTCCCCATATTGGGTGATGTGTCCCCATGCCACATCCTCATGTCACCTTACTCAGCTGCTAGGTGAAGAGGAGGCAGCACTGCTGCAGCACCTCCAGGCCATCCAACAGCTCCAGCAGCACCGCATCCCGTGCCATCATGGTGATTATCAAAACCAATGTGTTCACTGGAAGACCCTCCCAAAATAGGCAGGTAAGCAGAGGAAACTTGCCAATACAGGCGTGTAAGCAGAGGGAACCCGCCAGTACAGACAACCCTATCAAAAGAAGACACGTCAATGTAGGAACGTATCGAAACAAAGCGTGTCAACGTGAGAGAAGCTACCAAAGCGACCTTGTAAACAAACCTCGTGACAGAAGACCTTACCAAGATAACTGGCACAGCCAAACATAAAGAGCACCCTACCAAAGCCAAGCCCACAAAAACATCCTCTTGGGTACCATACCAAAGCGATCCCTGTGAACAAATCCCAACATGGGAGATCCCACCCGGTCAAGCTCCCTAGTAAATACACACATGGGAGACCCTACCAAGCATCCTCTCACGTAAAGACAATGACGTAGTAGATCCTGCCAGACCAATCTTGTAAACGAACTCCATAATGGGAAATCAGACCAAAGCAAATCCCATTGTGATTGATAGCCCCTACCAAAACCACCTTCGTAAAAAAAAAACTCCACCAGGGGATGTTTCTATGGTTCTACGGGAGTTCTGACCAAAAATAACCTCGTGTAAACAGACACGGAGATCATACCACAAAAGAACCCCATCAGCGCGACCCCACAGGATACTACACAAACTACCGTCCTCACACTTCCGCCCGCCTCTGCCGCCTCGCTCCCTGCCACAGCCTCCTCCAATCGAAGCCGTGATTTCCGCCGTTCCACCAATGGAAGTGCGCGTTGCGGCGCGGGGCGGGACCTCGCCGGGGGACGGCCGCCAAGCGAATGAAGCCCATTCGGCGGCCATTTTGGATGAGGGCACCGCGCCGCCGTCTCCGGCCGTCGCATAGGAGGCGCCTCGCCAGCACGAAGCGCTCCGATTGGTCCTCGCCACCCGAACCAATCAACGGTGACGGTGTTTGGAGGCCCCGACGCGAGGAGAGCAGCGCGGCTGCAGCCATGGTACGAGGCGCCGGTTGTCGCGGGGGCCGTCTCGTCCCTGCGGCGTCTCCCGTCCCCTCGGTGTTCCTTTTCACTCCCCGGCGGCCCCGCGTCCCTTTCCGCCGCCCCCGCGCCGTCTCCACGCCCTGCTCGGTGTCTCCGCATCCCCTCGCTACCGCAGGGCCGCGAGGCCGTTTCGGTGCCGCCGCCGCGTTCCTCTTCGGCGCCCCGGTGCTTCTCGGCGTCACCGCGTCCCTTTTTTATGTCCTCCCGTAGCCGCCCGCGTTCCCTGGACTGTCGCTACGGCTCCTTCTCGGCGTCCCCGAGTCCCCGTTAGCGTTTCCGCGTCCCTTCTCGGTCTCCCTTTCCCTCGCCGCGCCCCTGTCGCGTCCCTCCGGCTCCGTCCTCGCGTCCTCTCGGCGTGCCGCGTCTCCGGCGGTGTCCCCGCGTACCTCCGCAGGATCCTCAGCTCTCCTTCCCCCCGTGCCCCCTCCCCCCGTTGTCTCTCTGTCTTCCTCGCCGTCACCGCGTTCCCCGTTCTTAGCTTCGCCGCCAGGCCCGTGAGCGCCGTGAGTACCTGCAGCGCCGGGCGCAGGAGGAACGTCTGCGGCGGCAGCAGGACAAGAAGGAGCGGCTGCGACAGGCCCTGGATGGTGAGGGCGAATCTGGGGGGGGAGGGGAGGGGGGCAGGTAGAGCTTGCCCAAGGGCAGATGAGGGGTATGGGTGCCTCGTATGGGGGCTGTGGGGATAAATATGGGATGAGAGGTAAGTTATGGCGTGGACAAGGGTAAATCTGTGGTGCATGGGAGCAGATGTGGGATCTAATGGGCAAACAGGGGGCATGGGGGCAGATGTGAGGTATGTGGGAGCTAATATGTGGCAGCAAATACAGGGTCCAGAGGGAGCACATGTGAGCCAAACAGGGCGTATGAAGGGGCAAGTTAGGGGACAGATTTGGGGTGGGAAGGCAGATATGGGGGCTGCGGGGGTAAGTATGGGGACTCTAGAGGCAGACATGAAGTGGATGGGGAAACGTAGGATAAATGAAACAAATATGGACTGATGGGCAAACTCGTGGAGAGGCGGTAGGGTAAATACAGAATGTTGTGGAGCAGAGACAGGGTTTTGAGAGGCAAAATGGTGGTTGTTGAGGTAAACATGGTGGATGTGGGGGCAAATGAGGGGCATGGGGATAAGTGGGGGGTGCAGACAGGGGAAGTATCACACAAGGGGGCGAATTTGGGGTGTGCAGGAGCAAATGTGGGATGTGAAGGGGGCAGTATGGCCTGCAGAACACAGAGGAGGAGCTTTAAAGGGGTTCTGGTTTGGATTACAGAATATTTGGGGTTCCTTCCATCGTCTTCTCCCACACAATTTTTGTCTCCCCTCCCCAGAGAACCGATTGCTGCCCACTGAGCTGAGGCGCCAGGCGCTGGCCTTGCAGAAGGAGCTGGAGTTTGAGACGCCGGGGGAAAATGGTGAGTGAGAGAATGCTCCAAGTTGCTCTAGAAATGAGGCAGGGATCAGCAGAAATCTGTGACCCCAAGGAGCAAGTGATTTACCTGGATGGACCCTACAGTTAGGAGGGTGCTTGGGTGAATTCTCCTCAGAATGAAGGATAGGCTTGGTTCGTTCTCACTTCAGTGGTATGTGGAGACAGGATAAGGGGAAACGGACACAAGCTGCAGCAGAGGAAGTTTTGAACAAATGTGTGCAAGAACTTCTTTAGGTGAGGGTGATGGAGCACTGGAACAGGCTGCCCAGGGAGGTTGTGGAGTCTCCTTCTCTGGAGATGTTCAAGTCTTGCCTGGATGCCGACCTGTGCGACCTGGTGTATGGAACCTGCTTTGGCAGGGGGGTTGGACTCGATGATCTCTGGAGGCCCCTTCCAACTCCTACAATTCTGTGATTCTCACAGTTGGGGGATTTGCTGTGATTTTGGCAAAATTACGTTTACCCAAGTTGTGCCCAAAACGAGGAGTGGATTTGCCTGAATGTTTCCCAAAGTGGGGAACAGATTTCCTCAATTCCTCTTGAAATGAAGGGCACGTTTTTATGACCCTCCCCTGCAAGCTGAGAACAGATTTTCCTCAGTTCCTCTCAGAATGGCAGTGTGTTTGTCCGGATTCCTCCCCAGATGGGGAGTGGGCTTTTATGATTCTTCCCCAAAATGAGGAGCAGATTTGCCCTATTTTTTTCTTAAAATTGGGAGTGGATTAGGCTGAATCAATCTCAAAAATCTCTGTGGAGGTTCATCTGAGTCGTTCCTAAACTGGGAAACAGGTTCTCCTAAAGTGGCAAACAGGTTTTCCTCAGTTTCTCTCAAGACGAAGAATGAGTTTGGCTGAATCTTCCTCAACAGAGGGAGCGGATTTGCCCAGTTCTCAAAATTGGAGGTAGATTTTCACAGCTCTCTCCCCAGGGGGGTGGGTTTGCCCTGCCTGCGTACTCCCTGCTGAGGGGGGCGTCCTGACCAAGCCCTGCCCCTAGGTGTGACGGGCAGCCAGGACGATGAGTACCGGTGGGCAGGGCTGGAGCCTCCCAAAGTGATGGTGACAACCTCGCGTGACCCCAGCAGCCGCCTCCGTATCTTTGCCAAGGTGGGTGATGGCCTCACTTGTTGGTGAGGCTCACGGATGGAGTCTGGCCTCGGTGACACGGGTGGGGCTTTGGGTTGGCTCCGCCCCCAGTCTTTGTGTTTTGTTCTTCAGGTTGGGTCTGGAGTGGGGTGTAAGGTGGGTGAGCGGAGCTTGGATGGTGCTCCCCGTGGGCCTGAATCCACACTAGGATGTGGGCGAGGAGCTCGTTGGGGTGGGTGGAGCGTTTATTGGCACGGTTGAGGTAGTAGGCATGGCTTCTTGACCTGCTTCACTCCCAGGAGCTGTGCCTGGTGATCCCAGGGGCTCGGCGGCTGAACAGGGGCCGGGCAGAGGTGGGGGCCCTGGTGAGTGCGTGCCGGGCGGCTGGCGTCACTGACTTGCTGGTACTGCATGAGACCCGCGGACAGCCTGGTGAGATGGGGTGAGGGCTTGGAAAAGGGGTGAGGGCGCAGGAGGTGCCCCGTGCTGGGGAAAAACGTGGTTTTGAGGGGCCTGTGTTGGGCAGGGAAAGGGGGAGGCTGATGCGTGAGGGGTAGGGTTAATGGGAAAAGCCTTTGCTAATGTCAAGGAGTGGAGCTGTGGGGAGGTGCGCAGGACTAAGGGGGCGGGCACAATGATGGAACGAGGCCTCTCTGACACACACCGCTGTCCCCAGATGGGCTGGTTCTGTGCCACCTGCCCCATGGCCCTACAGCCCACTTCACGCTGAGCGGGGCTGTGCTGAGGCATGAGGTGGGGGGTCTTGGTGGTGCTCCGCTAGGAGCGCCGCACATCTTGCTGCACCGACTGGACAGCGCGCTGGGACGTCGGGTAAGGGGATGCAGAGGCATTGCAGGACACAAGGGGGGCGGGGAGGGACACGGGTACGTGGGGACACGGAGATGTGGGCGTGGGGTTGATGGGGGCACTGGGGATGTGATGAGTGCAGGGACATTGGGACTTCAGAGGACATGGAGATATGGGGGGACACGAGGACATAGAGGGATGTGGGGATGTGGAGGGACACGTGGCACAGGGGACGTGGGGACGCTGGGAGACGTATGAGAATGTGGAGGGGCATTGGGATGTTGGGGAGCTTGGGATGTGAGGGACGTGGGGGACATGGAGGGACTAAGAAACCTGGAGGATATGGGAACTTCGGAGAGTATGGGGAACACTGGGGGAATGTGGGAACATGGAGGGACGTGGTGACGTAGTGGAGTGTGGTGACACGGGGACAAAGGGAAGGATAATGAGGGACGTGGAGACTGGGACACTGGGGACACTGCAGGGAACGTGGGCAGCAGGCAGCACACCATGGTGACAGTGTCCTTGTGCCTGTTCCTCAGCTGGGGACCATCCTCAAGCACCTGTTCCCTGTCCCCCGGCCCCAGACCCGCCGCGTGGTGACTTTTGCCAATGAAGATGACGTCATTCTTGTCCGGTGGGAATGGAGGGTGACCCGGGTGGGACAGGGATGCTGGGAAGGGTGTCACATGTACTTTGGGAGGCAGTGGGGATATTGTGGAGACACAGGGGACGTGGATGGGGTTAAAGAACCTTGGGAACTTCTAGGAAACAGTGGTGTCCTTGCAGGAACCACGTTTACCGGCGGCAGGGGAAGACAGTGGAACTAGAGGAGGTGGGACCCCGCTTCCAGCTACGCCGTGAGTGTTCACAAGTGTCCCCGTGGCCTTCCCAGACCCCTCAGCACCTTCTATCCCTTTCCCTGAGCCCTAATTGTCCCTACTGCCTGACACCCTCTGCTTATGTCCATGCCTTTTGTTAACCCTCATTTCCCTCCATGTGTTCCCACATCTCCAGTGCGTCTCCAGGGTGTCCCCAGCGTGTCCCCTGTCCCCTCGTGCCCCTGTGTTCCCTGTGCCTGTTATCTTCTCATGTATCCACAGCATTTCCCCACAGCCCAGTGTTCTCTCATATCCCCTCTGTGTGTAGGTCTCCAACGTTTGTCCCATGTCCCCGATGGCCTCCTATGTCCCTGGACATGTCCCCAGCATGTTGCATGTACCCCACGTGCTCCTATCTCCAACATTTGCCCCATGTCCTCATTGTCCCCAGTGTTCCCCCTTGTGCCTCCTTGCCCTAGCATGTCTCCATGTCCCCATATCCCTGTGTTCTCCATGTCTTCATTAAGTCTCCACATCCCAAATGTGTTCCTGTCATCTGTATTTTTGTCCCCAACATGGCTCCGTGTCCCCCAAATCCCATGTCCCCCATATCCCTGTGTCCTTTAATGTGGCCGTGTTCCCATATTTCCCATGTAACCCCATGTCACTATTGTGTTCCCGTTTCCCCATCTTGTCCCACTGTCCCTCATAACCCCATGTGCCCATGTTTTCCATGTACCTTCATGTCCCCAGTATGTTCTGTTCATGTTCCCCATGCCCTGGTATGTCCTCGTGCTCCGACCTGCCTCACCATGTTCCTGTGTTTCCCACATCTCCATCACATGTCCCCATGCCACAACAGCTTCCCATTATGTCCCCTGTGTTCACCATGTTCTTCTATCCCCAACGTGTCCCTTTGTTTCCGTGTCACCGGTGTGTTCCCGTCATGTCCACCGTGTCCCTAGCATGTCCTTGTGTCCTCAGCCTGTCCTTGTGTCTTCCAGATCGCCGCATCCCCTTGTCTCCCATGTATCAGTGTGTCACCATAGCGTCCCCCATGTCCCCCTCAAGTCTCTTTGTGTCCCCATCGCATCCTCTTCCTCATGTTCCCAGCGTATCCCCATCCTGTCCTTATACCCTTTTTGCATCCCATGGGTCCCCATCATGCCTCTGATGTGTCCCGTCTCCCTGCAGCCTACCTGATCCGCCTGGGGACCCTGGAGCAAGGGGATGCTGCTGATGTGGAATGGCGTTGGCACCCCTACACTGCCACTGCCCCCAAGCGCCATCTGCTGAGTGCCACCTAGTGCTGTTGCCTCCCGTCGCCCTCACCACTGGTGTCCTGCTGGCCCAGATGACATTTTCAATAATATATTTTCTCTTACTTTTTCCACACCAAAATCTCATTTGTTGCCTGTGGGCAACATCTTCAGTGTCGTCCTGTAGGGATGCAGAGGGGCACTGCCTTATAGGTTTAGAGCTGCAGCTCTTACAGGAAGCGTTGGATGAATTCTGTAGGGGACAGAGGTGCCACATAGGGTGGGGCAGTTGTATTGGCTCTGTAGGGTCCCTGAGGTGTAACTCTGTAGGAACAGCAGGGGCCCCCCGTGGGTCTGTAGATCCTCCAGGCTCTTTGCAGCTTCTTCTTTTACCTGGCCTGTCAATGCCAGGGCAATTGCAATTCCCCACTGGATACTGCTCATTTATGTGGAGGTTTTCTGGAGTTGCTGACAGAAGTTCAGGAGCCCAGCGGCAGTCAGTCTGGACCACGTCTGCCAGGATCCAAGTCACAAAAACTGCTCAGTTTAAGAGGTGAAATGTGCAGGCTGGTGCTGGAAAACTCTGAGAAGACAGCCTGGCTGACATCTCACTCTGCGTGCAGCCTGCCTGAGGAGCACACCAGCAACACTTCTCGTTTGGTGCCGCTGCTGCCCAAGGGGACCAGGTCATTGCAGTGTCAGGCAACGCAGAGCAGGGCTCCCCCGGCGTGGGATTTCCTGTCCATACTGATCAGGACATGGGGTGCCCAGCAGAAATACAGCCCCACCTTGGGCTGATTGGTCCTACAATCTGTGAAATCACGGGGGTTCAAGAGCCGTGTCCATGACTTGCCAGAACTGTCACCAAAATTGGAAATAAAACTCCTTAACACCAAATAAAACTCCTTAATACCAAAAATTAGGAAGCGGCCATTCTTTACTGTGGTGTCAGATGCGTGGGGGATTGCTCCATGTAATGCGCATACCCAAGAGTTAAAACACACAGCAGGAGGAACGCTCGCCCCGCTCCAGCTCTGCGCGTGCTCGGGCCGGCAGGCGGTGCCCGGATCGCCGCTTCCGCAGGCGGCGCTACGGTCGCGTGACGTCATCGCATGCGCCGCGCGCCGGGAGTGGCGCGGCCGTGACGTCGGGGGGGCGCGAGGCGGGGCTGGGGGCGGCCCGGGTCGGGCAACGCGGGTCCTTGCGGGGCCGGGCGGGAGCTCGGGACCATCGTAGAGGCGCGAAGGCTGTCGCGGGGCTGGACCGGGGCGTCCTCCCGGGGTCGTTTGGGAGCCCCCCGGACTGCACAACAGTCGCTCACCACCTTCCAACCGATGCCCACCCAGTCCCCAGACAGCGGCTGCCCCACCCAACCATCTCTCCTCAGCTGTCTGAAGTTTGTTTTTTCACGTGGATCCATTTTGTAAAGTTTATTCGGGAAGCATGGTTAAGGCAGAAAGGTTGAAACCGGTGGCTCAGTGCTGGCTCAGAGCAATGCAACGGTTTTATCCGTTTGTTTCATCAAGTCCCCATCCCTGGAGGAAGGATGAACGCGGAATTTGGCCACGAGACTCCACCCTGCTCCACACTCTGTGTTTTCTTAAGAGTCAGCATACCAGGCTCCCTGGTGTTTGCTGACTGCTAAGGTCTCAGGTCACGTTGCATAGGGAACTATCCTGGAACAGATTATCCAGCGCCTTTCCCCTGGGGGCTTCACCTTCTGGAACACAGGCAGTTCCACATGAACACGAGGAAAAAACTCCTTTGCTCTGAGGGTGACGAGGAACTGGAAGGGGCTGCCCAGAGGGATGGTGGAATTTCCTTCTCTGGAGATATTCAGGACCTGCCCAGATGCCTGCTGGTGTGGCCTGCTGTAGGGAGCCTGCTTTATCAGGGACCTGAGGATCTCTAGAGGTCCCTTCCAATCCATACAGTTCCGTCACTCTCTTGAGAGGTAGGCATTTCAATAAGTCACCTCCAGTTATTATTCCACGCTCTTTCACTGCGCTCCTGCCCTGCTGCCCTGCACTGCTCGCTGCTCCTGCCTGGTAAGGCAGCGAAACAGCCTCTGCTGCACTTGTGCCAACTGACACAGCAGTGGCGTGGCAGTGTTCCTGCCCTCAGAGTCACCACGGTGATACGGATGCTGTTGTGATCCTGTCATTGGTGACAGCGCAGTGACGCGGCTTGCACTGCAGTTTTGCCAGTGGTGCAGGCGCTGTTGCAGTCGTGGCCTCGGTGACACCACAGTGATACAACCATTGTGCTCCTGACAGCTGTGACACCAGCAGTGACGCCACCGCCACTTCTGTGCTGCTGCCCAACATGAAATCACAGTGACACGGCCACCGCTGCACTGCCCACTGCCACGTCCACATGGCAAGGCCACCCATGGTGACAACAAAGGACTGCCGCTACTGTCCTCCCGTACCTGTGACACCACAGTGGCATCACTGCCACTGTGCTTTTCCCCTCTGTGGCACTGCACTCTGCTGTGATCCTGCCACTTGTGAGACGCTAATCCTCATGCCTCCCTCCCCATGAGAGAACAAACTATCATAAGGAGTCTTGGAGACCTTTCAGCTACGTAAGGGAGGGCATTCAAATCAGAACCGAATGGTAATTCTACTAATTGCACAGGGCAATTCCACACCTGTGGAATTTGCAGGCACCTAAGTGGAGGCAGTGGTTCTGCAAAACAAAAAGAACCTCAATGGTAGAATTAAATGTGCCTTAGCATGGGTTGTATAAATCGTATCGTTACATGACAGTTTTGTATTCTCCATATTCACCTTTGATTCAGCACAAATAACAAAACTAAAGCACGCCTCCACCTATGAGACATCTGCCACTCGAAAAGCCTCAGTCTCTGAGGCTAAATATTCAGATACAGTTCCCCCGTCACATAAGTTTAGGGCTGTGGCATTGATGCCAAAATGTCTTAATGCAGTATAGTTTTGTAAAAGGAGATCAGTGTAGGCACTTTGAGAAAATGTTATCACGTACTTCATCAGCTGCCATACCCAGGTGTTCAAGTAGGCTGGCAGATGTTCCGCCAGTTCAATTGCCAGTGCTGCGGATTTAAAGATAACCAGCCCTCACCATAAACTGCCAAAGGTCATTTTGTTATAATCTACATTTAAAAAGGATATTTAACACTAAAAAACAGCAACACAGTCATTACAAACACCCCACATTACAAACACAGTCCTTACAAAAACCATTACTTGAGGACACCCTAGCTCAGCATTCTTCCTTCCACTGCCTATACGTTTCCTTGCTTTGGAGAGGTAAGAACAGCTTTAATGAGAGGAGCACCACAAGTGCGGACTCCCCTTCGTCATTCCTCCTGTGCCCCTTCCCCTGCACACCTCAGACATGACGTGGCAGGTGCTCTGCATCCAAGGGCCTTGGCCCCTGAGGAAGACTGTTAAGCAAAACAGACCTGACTGGCCTGAAAGGGTCAAACAGGGAACACGCGGCCCCTCCTGAAAGGGAAGGACTGCCATGTGAAACATGCGGCCCCTCCTGAAAGGGAAGGACTGCCATGTGAAACTGGCAAGCATAAGTTACAGCTTCTTCGTTCCATGACCAAGAGCAGAACATGTTCTGTGGAGAGAACGCCTTTTGATCACTGTACTGACCATAATCTACGAAAGAGCTAATTAAATAATGACGTATTGCTGTCAGCTACATGAATGTTATCTGATTTAAGTATTGTATACTCCTGTAGCTAAAAGATATAAAAACCCTGTAACAACAATAAACTTTGCTTTTGCGCCACCAGAGCCTTAAGCCCGTCTGTCCCAGGCGTCTTGAGCTGGTCTCCGTCAGGCCCCCTGTGCCATGGCCACAGTGTTTCCATGTCCAGACAGCAGAGCAACATGGAATCACCGATTGCCTCGGGTTAGAAGGGACCTCCTCCCGTTCCAAGCCCTTGCTGTGGGCTGGTTGCCCCCCACCAGCTCAGTCTGCCCAGGGCTCCGTCTGCGGCCACGAGCAGCACCAAGATGGAGCACCCACCCTGCCTTCTGAGCAAGAATTTCTGCCTGAAGTCTAAGCAGACTCTCCCCTCTTTCAGTTTACAGCTACTCCCCCTGGTCCCATCGCTATCTGCCTGTCTCCTTTGCCTGTCTCTTCTGCCCAGTGTATCTCAAGAACCCTTCTCGTGATTTTCCGCATCCCTGGCCAAGTTCAGTTTCATCTCTGCCTTGGCTTTCCTGATGCCATCTCCAAATGTCTGGGCTGCACCCCTATATTCTTCCCAGGCCATTCATCCCTCCTTCCATAGCCTGTACCTCTCCTTCTTATCCCTCAGTTTGATCAGCAGGTCCTGCCCAGCCGTCCCAGTTTCCTGTTTCCTCTGCTTGCTTTCTTACATGCGGGGACTCTTTTGCTCTCAGGCATCCTTAATGAGCTGCCTGCTCTGTTCCATCCCTACGCCCCTATGACAGCTTCCTAGGGTATTCCATCAAGTAATTCCTTCAACGTGGGAGCTTGCTCTAGAACTTCGCTCTAGAACATCTGGATGTTCTGTGCTGTGCCACATGGGTGTGAGGACTGCAGAAAACACATTGCCTGAGGGACTTTTTGGATTTTCAGCCTCTTTCATTCCACCCTGCAAGCCTGGTAATCATTCTTCCGGTGCCTGCAGAGTTCTGCCTGTGGAGAGGGAAGATGGCGGATGGGTGGAGCCCACACCATGCCCAGCAGGGTCCCTTGCCCAGACTGCAAGAAGCATGTTGCAGGGGGAAAGGGCATGATGGGGGGGGGGGGGGGGGGGGGGGGGGAGGGGCCTGCAGCCCCTCTGAGGCATGGGCTTGGGTGACAATGGGGACCCTGATCCCTGCCCTGTCCCACAGCTCCCAGCACACGCTTCCCCGAGAGGTGGTACTGAGCACAGGCACAGGCTGCTGCTCTCGCCAGCGCTCTTCTCTCTGCAGCTGCTCTGCAGTGAGGAGGTGAAGGCAAAGGCAGACGGGGCGATAGTGCTGGGGCTGTTTGCTGAGGAGCAGAGGAGGAGTGCAGGAGCTCAGCAGTGTGGGAATCAAGTGTTGTTTCTGCATTAGAATTGTATAATATTATTTTTATTTTATGATCTCCGCTATCATAGTTCTTTTTGGGAGTCCTTCTACTTAACTTGGGGAAGATCTCTGATAAGTTTACATCACTTATCGTATAGACGAACCTTCCCAGGAACACACACTCTGTATATATGTATATATGTATATTTTGTCATACACACTGCAAGAATATCCTGCACGAGAGCAAACCAGAGAACAAGCCATGGCATGCCCGAGGAAGCGCCTGACATTGGGAAGGCCTGACATCATCCCCCAGTGCTCTTTGTTTAACGATGATGACTTTAAAGAAAATCACCATATCAACAGGACAAGGAGAGCACCGAGAAGACATCTTGGAAACAACAGAATGAC